CGCTGCTGTGCCTGAGTATAGAGCTGTCACCGTGCCGCCCGAATCGCTGCATCACCTCACCACTTCATCGTCTTCCCATCGCCTAGCACTTCACCGTTCAACCAAGAACTCCAAGCCTACTGCCTGTAAGTGACTGAGCCGAGATCCGTCCCTGCTGGGACGTTGAACTCTGGACGTTGTACACTCCCCACAGGAGAAACACATTCACGACAGTGATAGGAACCTAGACACGCAGCAAGATGTTGTAATGTCATGATGTCAATGATGTGCTAACTCGTGATCAATGTGGAAACATTAAGTGTGATATTGATGTTTGATTATTGGTTGTTGATCATTGATTATGGATTGTGAGTTATTGCTATTAGTATGATTAAGATTGTGTGTTAAGATTGTATTGTTATGGTAGGTATAGTGGTTAAGTTAGAACATATATCGTTAAGCTCTAGACTGTGAAGTATAGAGTTATAGACTGGTAGACATAGGTTGTTAAGCACATTGTTAGGTAAGCATAATATATTGCTATGAATAGAGTTGAGCATATTAGGTACGTTAGCATTATTAGGCATATAAATTGATATTGATAGTGTTTTAACCTTGATAAATAAGCAGATGGGTAGTGTGATAAATCCCCGGTGTGTCCCTGGTGTATGAGCAATAAAAATCTCTCATTGGAAAGCAGCCTTATGTCCACATGTCCCTTTCTTCCCCGTGACTGACAAGTCATACGTCACACTCGCTATGTTGAGCTGTGTGACAGTAGGGCTCGCAACACCTTTCTCTTCTTTTCCTTTGACATTTTCAGTTCCCAGATCAAGAAGAAATCATGCTCTAAGAAGATGGTTTAAAATGTTGATAAGAATTCTACTCTGAACTCTATATAGAGCTTTTTAAAAAAATTATGTATTTATTTTTTTGAAAACCAGAGTGACAGAGAGAGAAATTGTCTACTAGCTGATTCATTCCTCAAATACCTGCAACAGCCAGGGCTGGGCCAGGCCAATTCGAGGAGCCAGGAACTCAATCCAGATCTCCCACGTGGGTGGCAGTGACACAAATACTTGAGCCATCATCCACTGCCTTCCCAGGTACATTAGCAGGGAGCTGGAGTGGAAGTGGAGCAGCTGGGACTTGGACTGGAACTCCTATCTGGGACATGGGTTTCCCAGGCAGCAGCCTAACCCACTTACCACAATGGTTGTCCTCCTATAAAGTGTTTTAAAACAATAAAGAAACTATTGGGAGAGAGAGGTCTTTCATCCTCTGTTTCTTTCCCCAAATGGCCAAAATGGTCAGAACTGGGCCAATCTGAAGCCAGGAGCCAAGAGCCAGGAGCTTCTTCCAGGTCTCCCATGTGGGTGCCGCGGCCCAAGAACTTTGGCCATCTTCTGCTGCTTCCCAGGCCATAGCAGAGAGCTGGATCGGAAGTGGAGCAGCCGGGACTCAAATTGGTGCCCATATGGGACTGTGGAACTGCAGGCAGCGGTTTTTACCCACTATGCCACAGCGCAGGCCCCAGGATATTTTCCTTAGTGCTCTATTTAATTATTTTAGATGTAGAGATCATATATTATCTCCAGATAGACCCTCAAAGCCGGACACGGGACCTTCCTTTTGACACGAGACCGGCAGTATGTATCAAAAGCTCTCTCATACTGATTTATTTGAAAGGCAGAGAGACAGAGAGGCAGAGATGAACAGGGAGAAATCTTGCATCTGCTGGTTTACTCTCCAAATGCTCCCAGCAGCTGGAGATGGGCCAGGCCAAAACCAGGAGCCCAGAACTCACCTGGGTCTCTCATGTGAGTGGCAGGGGCCCAAGGACTTGAGCCCTCACCTGCTGCCTCCCAAGTTATGAAAATAGCAAGAAGCTAGAATCAGAAGAGGAGCTGGGGCCGGCCGCGGCTCACTAGGCTAATCCTCCGCCAGCGCCGCTAGGCTTAGCCTAGTGAGCCGCGACGCCGGCACACCAGGTTCTAGTCCCGGTCGAGATGCCAGATTCTGTCCCGGTTGCCCCTCTTCCAGACCAGCTCTCTGCTGTGGCCAGAGAGTGCACTGGAGGATGGCCCAAGTGCTTGGGCCCTGCACCCCATGGGAGACCAGGAGAAGCACCTGGCTCCTGCCATCGGATCAGCGCGGTGCGACGGCTGCAGCGCACCGGCTGCAGCGGCCATTGGAGGGTGAACCAACGGCAAAAGGAAGACCTTTCTCTCTGTCTCTCTCTCTCACTGTCCACTCTGCCTGCCAAAATTAATAAATAAATAAATAAATAAATAAATAAAAAGAAAAAAGAAGAGGAGCTGGGACCCAAAGCCCAGGCACTCTGATATGGATGTGGGTGTCCCAAATGCTGCACCAGGAGCCTACTCCTCTTTCACTTTTAAAACTGGGGCAGGAGTTTGGCCTAGTGGTTTAGATACCAGTTAAGATGTCTGCATCCCACATCATAGACCTGGGTTCAATTCCTGATTCCAGCTTCCTGCTGTTTCGGACCCTGGGAGGCAGCCGGTGGCAGGCAGTTCAAGTAGTTAGATCCCTGCCACCCACATGGGAGAGCTGGATTGAGCTCCTGACTCCCACCTTCAGTTCCAGTCCAGCAAAGGCCTTTGCAGGCATCTGGGCGAGTGAACTAGCAATTGGAAGCTCTCTGTCTCTGTCTCTCGAGTAAATAAGTAAATAATTTTTTTTAAAGTGACTGAAACCACTCTTGGCAGAAGAGGTTTGGCAGGTCAAACACGCAAGCTGAGACCCCTTCCAGGGCCTTTAGCATTTTTATTGACTTGTAACATCAGCTCAATTTTCTTTCATGGCAAGTGTTTTATCTCTGTTCTTTGAAGAGGATGAAAACAAACTGTCAATATTTGCATCAGGAGCACTAATACACCATTTCCTGCCTAATTAGTTTATTCCCGTTACTGGGTGACATTTTGGATGGTGGATTATACAGGTGCTACTGACATAGTCTTACCTGACTTGTTTTTGTTCTTGAATCAGTCTAGCTTTTTATCTTCTCCTTCCTTTGCTCTTTGCAAGAAGAATTGTTTGAAAAGTGGGGAGATGGCAGGTGGAGACCTCTCCTGTGTATGTTTTGTCTTACATTTGAAAATCAACAGAGATAAAAGGAAGGATCTGGCAGGGTCCATTGCTGGCTACATGCACTCTGGGACAAGTGCAGATGCCCACCCCACTCCCAGCCCCCTAGTATTTCCCCCTGCTATGGGTCTTCCCACCCCTCTTCCCACCAGCACAAGAGACTGACTGACAGGCATGGCAGTTCTATCTCAACTCTGAGAATGAAGAAGTAAACACTTGATTTTTTTCTTGGGGAAAAACTGCTTCTGCTGCCCTAGACGTACTTTCTGTGCACACTCTGTTCTTCTGTGGTCAGCAAGGAAAGAGTGACAAGAGCTTGAGAGCATTGTCCACCTTTCTTTTACCAAGGAAAGAAACACAGCTTTGTCCCCAGGGTCACACTGGTCACAGTCCAGCCACTGGAAGGAACAGAACTAAGAACCATCAGAGGAGAGTCTCTCCCTATTTCCTCCTCAACATGTTAAAGAAAAGCTATTCTGACACTTAATAAATTGATAAGAAACACTTTATTCAAAACTGTAAGAAGGCCAGCGCCGCAGCTCACTAGGCTAATCCTCCGCCTAGCGGCGCCGGCACCCCGGGTTCTAGTCCCGGTCGGGGTGCTGGATTCTGTCCCAGTTGCTCCTCTTCCGGTCCAGCTCTCTGCTGTGGCCAGGGAGTGCAGTGGAGGATGGCCCAAGTGCTTGGGCCCTGCACCCTATGAGAGACCAGGAGAAGCACGTGGCTCCTGGCTTCAGATCAGCGCAGTGCGCCGGCCACAGAGGCCACTGGGGGGTGAACCAACGGAAAAGGAAGACCTTTCTCTCTGTCTCTCACTGTCTACTCTGCCTGTCAAGAAAAAAAAAAAAAAACTGCAAGAGGTGAAAGACCAGGCTCACACCCAAATACAGCAAAGGCAGCTGAGAATTTATAGCCAAAAATGGGTGACATGGGTGGGGAGGGGGATTCCTGCTATACTGGCCTACTTGGATTCTTGACAAAGGCACGCCAAGAACTTAGAACTTATGACTTAATCAAAGGTGGAGGATGATGAACGTTTTTTTTAAAAAAAGGAAAAAAAAGTTTTATTTATTTGAAAGGGAGAGTAACAGAGAAGGAGGGAGAGACACACACAGAGAGGACTTCTTCTTCTTCTTTTTTCAAGATTATTTATTTGAGAGGCAGAGTTCCAGAGAGAGGGAGAGACAGAGAGAAAGGTCTTCCATCCTCTGGTTCACTCCCCAATTGGCTGCGACAGCCAGAGCTGGGTTGATCTGAAAACAGGAGCCCACAGCATCTTCCAGGTCTCCCACGGGGCTGCAAGGGCCCAAGCACTTGGGCCATCTTCCACTGCTTTCCTAGGCCATAGCAGAGAGCTGGATCAGAAGTGGACCAGTGGGGCCTGGAAACAGCACCCATATGAGATACCAGCACCGCAGGTGGAGGTTTAGTCCACTACACCACAGCGCCGGCCTCAATAAATGAATCTTAAAAAAAAAAAAATGCTATAGAGGCTGGTGCTGTGGTATAGCCGGTAAAACCGCCACCTGTAGTGCTGCCATTCCATATGGGCGCCGGTTCAAGTCCTGGCTGCTCCACTTCCAATACCACCCTCTGCTAAGGGCTGGGAAAAGCAGTAGAAGATAGCCCTAGTCCTTGGGCCCCTGCACCTGCCTGGGAGATATGGAGGAAGCTCCTGGCTCCTGGCTTCGGATCAGCACAGCTCTGGCTATTGTGGCCAACTGGGGAGTGAACCAGCAGATGGAAGATCTCTCTCTCTGTGCCTCTCCTTCTCTCTCTGTGTAACCCTGACTTTCAAATAAATAAGTAAATCCTTAAAAAAATGCTGTAAACGTAGAGTGAGTTTGTATATGTAAAATGCATACATGTGAAATATGTTTGCATATGTAAAATACATAGCACACAGGAAGCACTCTATAAATGTCAGCTTTTATTTAACTATGAAAGTAATTTAACAATAATTTGTACTTACAGAAAAGACTGTGGCTTCAAGAACTGGCCTTTTAATGTACTGGTAGACAAACTCATTCTTTTTGTTTTTAACAAATTAATTTTTCATTAAAAATTTTATTGGAAAGGCAGAGAGACACAAAGATCTTCCGTATGTTGGTTTACTTCACAAATGTTCACAACAGCCAGGGTTGGACCAAGTTGAAGCCAGGAGCCTGGAACTCAATCCGGGTCTTCCACGTGGGGGGCAGGGACCTAATCACTTGACCCATCACCTGCTGCTTCCCAGAGTGTGCATTAGCAGGAAGCTGGAATTGGAAGTGGAGGCAGGACTCTGATAGTTCTGACTATTAGCCATTGCACCAGATGCTGCCTCTTCCCAAATGTTTCCAATCTGCGGTTGGTTGAACCCACAGATGTAGAACCTACAGGCACGGAAAGCTGACTGCAATTTCAGAAAACAGCTTGTATTCAGAACAATGGGATATTATTATTCAGTGCTAAAAAGAAACAAGATCTTGATCCATGAGAAGACAGGAACAAACTTCCTACTCAATTCTTCTGTGACTCCAAAACTGCTCTAAAAAGGACCCATTTTTTGAAAAAAAAAAAAAAAAAAGCTATAGAAGCATAACTTTACATCAAAGAGATTTGCTCAAAGATCTAATGAAACTGCTTCTTTACAGTAAAATCTTCTCAAACAGCATAAAAAATAGCTAGTGCGAGTGCCTGTGCCAACAAGATGAATCTGCCTCAGAAATATATTCATCTGAAAGTTAGACTGATAGTAAAATAAACATGCAGTGACAAGAAGCCCTAATTTTACATTCAGGTCCCTTGATGAAATAGGAGAAGGATGAGAAGTCAGGGTTCCCAAAGAAAATCCTAGAAGTAGGAAAGAAAATGAAGTTATAAATCATTTGGGGGATTGTCTGCCCGCTTTGTCTTCTGCTCGACCCCTGCATGGACCCCTCGGGTGGGTGTCAGAACTAGCCCTCAGTGCTCCCCCACACCCCACCGCAGAGAGAGAGAGTTCTGGGTGAGTATCGCCCAGCCTGGCTGGGTATGACCCAACCTGGGTCAGTCGATCGTGCGTCAATGCCACCCTCGTGGACAGAGGGACCGAGGGGCCATCGGGGTGACCCACTCTAAGTACACAGCCTCCTTCGGATCATTGATTGTCCCGACCCAGAGCCATGCGGTGACAAAAAGAACGTACCGAATACAGTGGGGTTCAGACCACGCCACGCCCGCCCTGCTGTGGCACCTCGGTGTCAGAGAAAACAGAGCAGGGTTGGGAAGCTGCCTTTCATCTCGTGCTTCTCCTCTGGAGCGAGTCAGGAGACCTCTTTGCAGAGGAAAGGAACGGCCCTATCTCAAGGCGCAGGGACGTGGGGGGGATCTGTGCACGCGCCTCCTCGCCGCCGCCCGGATTCAGCGCCTTCACTCAAACCCTCTGTCCGGTCACCTCTGCACAATCGTCCACCTCCTCATCCACTTTGGCGTGACAATCCAGTCGTCTCCCCTTAGCCGCAGTTTTGCTTTCTGTAGTTTCAGCCACCCACAGCCAACCACAGTCTGAAAATATTAAATGGAAAATTTCAAAAATAAATGATTCATACATTTTAAATTGTGTGCTGTTCTGAGTAGCTGGATGAAGTCATCCCACTCGGGCCGCCTGGGGCAGGAATCAGCCCTTTGTCCATCAGATGCACACTATAATCGTTACCCAGCTCTTGGTCCAACAGAGTCCACCTCAGATTTTAGATGGACTGTTGTTAGCCCAGTGCTGGTGCTCACGTCACCTTTATTCACTTAATAACGGCCCCAAAGCACCACAGTAAAGATGCTTGACTTTTATAATTGTTCTATTTTATTATTAGTTGTTGTTAACCCTACCGTGCCTAACCTACAAAATTATCCTTTATCCTAAGTATGTGTGTAAAAGGGAAAACATAGCACATGAGGACACTTAAAACAGTTCATGGAAAATGGAATTAAAGATAATTATTTTTGTCTGGCGCCACGGCTCATTTGGTTAATCCTCTGCCTGCGCACCGGCATCCTATATGGGCGCCGGGTTCTAGACCTGGTTGCTCCTCTTCCAGTCCAGCTCTCTGCTGTGGCCCAGGAAGGCAGTGGAGGATGGCCCAAGTGCTTGGACCCTGCACCCGCATGGGAGACCAGGAGGAAGTACCCAGCTCCTGGCTTTGGATCGGCGCACAGCACCGGCCGTGGCGGCCATTAGGGGAATGAACCAACAGACAGAAGACCTTTCTCTCTGTCTCTCTCTCACTGTCTATAACTCTCTGTCTCTCTCTTACTGTCTAACTCCGCCTGTCAAAAAAAAAAAAAAAAAAGATAATTATTTTTTAAAAGATTCACTTAATGGCCGGCGCTGCGGCTCACTAGGCTAATCCTCCACCTAGCGGCGCCGGCACACTGGGTTCTAGTCCCGGTCAGGGCGCCGGATTCTGTCCCAGTTGCCCCTCTTCCAGGCCAGCTCTCTGCTGTGGCCAGGGAGTGCAGTGGAGGATGGCTCAAGTCCTTGGGCCCTGCACCTGCATGGGAGACCAGGAGAAGCACCTGGCTCCTGGCTTTGGATCAGCGCAGTGCACCGGCCGTAGTGCACCAGCTGCGGCGGCCATTGGAGGGTGAACCAATGGAAAAGGAAGACCTTTCTCTCTGTCTCTCTCTCTCTGTCCACTCTGCCTGTCAAAAATAAATAAATAAATAAATAAATAAAAGATTCACTTATTCATTTGAAAGGTAGCATCAGAGAGCACGGGAGAGCTTCTATCCACTGCTTCACGCCCCAAATGGCCGCAGCGGCCAGGCCTGGACCAGGAGAAAGCCAGAAGCTTGGAGCTACTTACAGGTCTCCCATGTGGTGCAGGGGCCCAGGCACTTGGGCCATCCTCTGCTGATTTCCCAGGCACATTAGTAGGAAGCTGGATCAGAAATGGAGCAACCAGGACTTGAACCCGGGCTCATATGGAATGCTGTCAGTGTAGCCATTTAACTGGCTATGCCACAGAGCTGGCCCCATTAAAAGATGAATTTGAAACAAGTATGTGGTGCAGCAGTTATAACACCACTTGGGATGGATGCTCCCATTCCATATGAGAGTACCTGGGTTCAAGTCCCAGCTCTGCTTCTCATTCCAGCTTCCAGCTAATGCAGACCCTGGGAGGCAGCAGGTGAGGGCTCAAGTGCTTAGGTCCCCACCACCCATCTGGAGACTCCGATTGAGTTCTGAGCTCTTGACCCGGCCCTGTCCTGGTTGTTTTAGGCATTTGGGGAGTGAACTAGTGGACAGAAGATATCTCTCTCCCTTCTCTCTCTCTCTTTTTCTCAAATAATTAAATTTAAAATTTTTTGAAAGATTGATTTAATAAAAAATTATTTATTTACCTGAGAGGCAGAGTTACAGAGAGAGGGAGAGACAGAGAGAGAGGGCTTCCGTTCTCTGGTTCACTCCCCAGATAGCTGCAGCAGTCGGGGCCGGATCAGCTGAAGCCAGGAGCCAGAAGCTTCTCTTGGGTCTCCCACATGGGTGCAGGGGCCCAAGCTCTTGGGCCATCTTCTATTGCTTTCCCAGGAGCATTAGCAGGGAGCTGGATTGGAAGTGGAGCAGCTGGGACTCAAACCAGAACCCAATATGAGATGCAAACACCGCAGATGGATGCTTAACCTACTATGCCACAGCGCCAATTCCATAAAAAATGTTTAAAGGTAAGTTTATTTTTAAAAAAGTATTTATTTTGGCACCAAAAATGTTGAAATCCATGTATAATTTTTTCATAACATAATTTTCATAAAGTTTTTGAAAATACCTTACTTGTATAGATTTCAAAAAATTTTTGCAGCAATGTAAATTTATCCTGAATTTTATTTTTTCACGACCTTTTGGAGGGTTCTTGGAGTACCTTTTTTTTTTTTTTTTTTTTTTTTTTTTTTTTTTTTTTTGACAGGCAGAGTGGACAGTGAGAGAGAGACAGAGAGAAAGGTCTTCCTTTGCCGTTGGTTCACCCTCCAATGGCCAGCACGCTGCAGCCGGCGCACCGCGCTGATCCGATGGCAGGAGCCAGGTGCTTCTCTTGGTCTCCCATGGGGTGCCCTTTTTTATAAATAGGGTTTGGCGCTGCCCGTGGTCTCAGGCGTCCACCGGAAGCTCCGGGGCTCTTCTGCCGAGGACAGCGAGGGTTTCCATGTTTGGCTCCCGCTTCTGAAGTCTGCTACGTCACGGAAAGTCTGTAAGACACACGCATGCACTTTCCTCTGATGAACGTGTCCTTTGTTCCGGGGACCTCAGACATGAACCTGGCGATGGTGAGGGTGACGCCTCCGCCGGCGGTCTCCCGCCGCTGTGGAGTTCCTCCGCGGCTCTGAGAAGCGGGTCTGGGGCGGCAGAGACCGAAAGGGTTTTGTCAGCAGAGAGAGGCGGGTCCCTCATCACCCGTGTGGAGAGATTCTGCTTCCATGTTCTCGTGGGAACAGGGGAAGTTTTTGGCCTCGCCAACTCCTCTCGTCATAGGACAGAACACACCAGGGGTCCTTACTAAAGGCGAACCACAGAAACTCTACCCAGTGCTTCCCCGTGGCATTTAGCAGGACTCCCCAGCAAGGGGGTCAAAAGCATACTGGGAGCTAATTTTTTAAATTATTCATTTATTATTTCCAGAGGCAGAGAGATAGCAAAAGAGAAATAGATAGCTCCCATCCACTGGTTCATACCCCGCAACAAATTCCTGGAATGCTGAAGCTGGGAGCTGATCCAAGACTCCATCTGGGTGACAGGAGCCCACGTGCCTGAGCCAGCACTGCTGCCTCCCAGGGTCTGCATTAGCAGGAAGCTGGAGTCAGGAGCAGGAGCCAAGAGGGACCCAGGCAGTCTGATGTGGGAGCAGACATCTTGCCTGAACTCCTGACTGCTGAGCCACATGCTCACAGCTGTCGCTCCCCCTCTTCGTGGAGGAACGACACTAAGCCCTGCCTAGGCTTCATATCCGAGTCACGGCACCATTATGTCGCTCCCCGTCTTCGTGGAGGTGGCTACCGTCCCTTCCACCTCCGTAGAAGGGCGGTTCCCCCTGCCACATTCCCACTTCCGCGGGGGAGCGGCACACCACCGGCCGGCTCTCTCGGGGGCTGCACAGGTGTTCCTCTTAGATGTTCCCCTTAGATGTTCCTGGTGCATGTTGTCTCTCTCCTCCTTTATAGTCCTCTTCCGCCAATCCCAACTCTGCTACCCACACGCCAAGTACGCTGCTCTCCTCCAATCAGGAGCAGGTCCTGCTGTTTATTGGTTGAACTGGAGGCAGCTGTGTAGAAGCTGTTTCCTCCTCTCCCAGCACCATATTGTGGAAGAGCAGATGCATAGAATAAGTCTTAATTCCAGTAACTTAGTCTAGTCCGAGTTGCTCCCCACAACAGCTGAGGAGACAAGAGCACCCTGGGATCCACCCACTACCCATTGAGAAGATTCTGCATTCATAGAACAACTGCCAGTACTCACAGTGACATGAAGCCCCAGGACGGGCAGCTGTCACCCTGCGGTCCACCCAGGAACTGCCCTGAAGTCGGAAGGCCACTGAGCAGGGCACACAGGGCGCTGGGCCACACCCAGAGCTCTGTGTGCTCGTCCCCGAAACTGAGCTTCTCCTGAGGTTGGGGTGAGCTCTGTGCCCCCTAACTGGCAATCAGGCAGTGTGCTGTGGGACATGTGGGACGTCACGAGGCAAGTTAGTGAGCCAGTCCGTGTCTGCATGTGGCAGGAATCTATGGAGAAGCCTGGCTCTGGGTACAAGGGCATGCACAAATGGCAAATAAGAGGCATAATCGTCGTGAAGGGAAATAAAGGAGAAGATGCCCCTTCCTGGCAGGATTTCTTTCTCTGTGCTTCCAAGCATGGATAAATCCCTTTAATGGTTAAATAAGCCTTTTGGCAGCCTCCCAGCTCAGGCACACAGGCCCTGAGGCCCCTGTAGGCTTCTCTTCCATCCTCAAGGGAGGGAAGATTGCTGGGAGAAGATGGACTCACAGACTTGAAGTTGCAAACCCTGGGTTGTGGACACTTGGCTATGAAAGACAGCTGTTTCTTTCTATCTTTGCAACCCCTTTAATAGGTTGTCTGTGATGCTCTATTTAATGCTTACAGGATAACAAAACTTTTCTTTCTCTTCTGCCTTTCTGGAGATAGAGGAGCTGTGCTTAGGGGGATATTTTGGTTTTCATTCTATTTCCCCAGCACTACCCAGGAAGAGCCCCTGGTGCACTGCTCCACAGCACCCGCACGAGGGTTCAAGCCCCCAGACGTCCTCGGGCCCAGCATGAGGGAGCTCCACAAACGACCCAGGCCTCCAGGGAGCCCAAGCCAGTTGCTTCCTTCAGAATTTCTGAAAGTAGGGTTGGGAAATTGACATGTTTTCTCCACTCCGGAGCTGGCTCCAGGGCAGCAGAGCAAACCCAGCAGCTGCCCAGCTCTATAGCCTCAGAGCTATAGAGAAACCAGTGAGCTCACCCAGAAGAGACTAGGCCAGGCTGAGCCA